GTGAGGGGGTGGGGCGTGGGGGGTGGCTATCCCTGCCTCCGCTTTACAGTCAAGTGAGGGCTGCAGGTTCAGAAATGTTCAATACTTCCAACACCGTGAAATGAAAACTCCATCTAAGTCTTGTTGAGGTAGGCTAGCGGAGAGAGATCCCAGTGGGAGCAGAACGGAAACCTGCTCTCTTCTCTCTGGCTCAGGATGTGACCCTCCAGGGAGAGCAGACTGGGAAATATAGGACTTCAGCGGGAATGCCATCTCACCTTCCCTATCCTCAGGCAATGTCCTGATTTGTTATTTTTCACCATTCCTACCACGGTCACAGAAAGGTTTGTGGCCCCCATTCACGCCCTTGGGAAAACTCTGGCACACAGACTTGGTAACTGCATGACTGAGAGGCTGAAGGTGATAGTACATGGCTCAGTTATTTGTAGCAGGCCCCTGCTTGGAGGAAGATGGGATTCCAACAGGGAGGGGGGGCTGTGTATTTGATTCCAGCCTTTGGGGCTAGGTCTCTTTCTAGCCCTGTCCAGGCAAGGGAAGGGAAGAGGCAAGGGAAGCAGATGGCCTTTTCACACCTGCCAGATGTTCTCCGGTCTTTTTAATCACCTGGAGTTTATGAGGTGAATGTGCGCTGAGGGTCTGCTGTGGGCTGGACTGTCGGGTGGGGGGGCGCCAGAGGAGTGAGCTGGGCCCTGGTCCGTAGGGGTTTAGCTGGGGGAGCAGCCGCATTTGCAGTCCTAGTGGCACCAGGGAGTGGGTGCAGCATGGCAGCTCCACAGCACCCCTGAGCCCCGAGCCCCTACACACAGCCGAGGCAGGGGAGGGAGGATCAGGGAGGGGGAGGCTGCCTCCAGCTGTCGCAGAGGAGGTAGAACTGGAAGTGGTAATTTCATGTCATTTTTGGTTGTTGGGGTTTTCTAGTTTGAGTGTGGTAACTTTGACCGGAGACGCCTTTACGGAGTTCATGCCCTGAGTGGTCAACAGCAGAGGGGAACTGGGAACTGAACCTGCACTTCAAGAATCGTGAGACGAGGGCCGCTTTACTATTTGGTTTTTAAAAGGTGACGAGTAGGGAGATGGCTGGTGCAAAGGGCTGGAGCATGTGCTTTGCGTGTGAGGTTCGGGTTTAGTCCCCAGAGCCACGTGGCACCTGAGAACCTCTAAGAGCAACCACTACCTAGCGCTGGGTCAGGAGTAGCTCCTGATACCTTTGAGTAGCGGGGAGCATATAAAACCAAACCAAGCAGACCCCACAGAACGAACAAACCCCCCAAATCCTAAGAAACACGGGGGTTAGTTTTTAACTAATGCATAGGAATGTGCAATCTGGGGAATTCTACTGTTTCTCTTTTTAAGTAAAGCAGTTCTTTACTAAAAGCAAAGTCTCATTGGACCTCAATTTTTGGACCAACTGCTAGATGCCACTTTTGATTTTGTTTTCAATGACTTGCACCTCTCACTTAATTTTCTTCTCTCCTTTTCCCCCTCCCCCCTTCCCCCTAATATATTCTTTCAAACAATCGTTTTTACAAAGGCCTGGTTTGTAAATGCCCAGCTTATAAAATACGCCCTGGGTGCATGTGCTAGTGCTGTGACCCCAGCACCTGGACATTTGCTCCTTTATCTGTGACTGGGCAGTTTTGAAGAACTGACCTTGAGTTCCCCTGTCCTAGCTTCCAGGAGTCCTGTGATTCGGGGACACCCAAAAAGAGGGGCTTGGGAACTCTGCTTTGTCTGTCGCCCATTGTTCGGCTCACAGAAAGCAGGCTTATCTTTGTACCACCTGCCCTGATCCTACTTGGGTCCCAAGCATGTGATAGAACCCAGCTGTAATATGTAGTGGATTCTTCACTGATGATAATTTCCAGATTGCGATCAAAGCCCCTCCTGGCTGGCTGTGTTTATTAAGGAGGAAAATGTGTCGTGTTCAGTCTTCGCAAAATTCTGTTCAGGTGTACCATGAACCCAGGAAGTACATCCTAACAACTGTTACGTAAGGACAGAATCTAAGGGAATGCTGTGACTAATCCCAGGTTACAGAGGGGTGAGGGTGAAGCGGGTCTTCAGCTCGGCTAGGTGGGTGGATGATGCTCAAGTTGGGGAGGGAGGCTCCTGGGTTAAGGGAAACTAAGGGGTTAAGGGAAAGGCCCGGAGAGGAGAAACAGCCCTGCCTCTGAATGCTGTCCTGTGGAGATGGGGTTGGCCCTGTCCAGTACTGGGAGCAGCAATGGGGACTGGACGAATTGGAAAGTGGTAAGAGCTGGCAGCTGATGGGAAGCACTGTTTTTTTTTGGGGGGGGGCAGGGATAATTTGACATTTGCTGCTGCTGTTTGTGTACTGACACCTGAGTTACTTGGAAAACCCCTACAGCGATGCTCAGGGGTTACTCCTAGCTCTGCATTCAGGAATTACTCCTGGCAGCAGTGCTCGGGGGACCATATGGGATGCTGGGGATTGAACCCGGGTGGGCCATGTGCAAGGCAAACGTCCTGCCCCCTGTCCTATCGCTCCAGCCCCGCACCGTGTTTGCAGGAGCTCCTAACAAATACAGGCTGACCGTTCGGGCAGAAGTGCAAAGGGGATGGGGGTGTGTTTGTGTGTGTCGGTGTGAGTGTGGAGGTTGCCTGAGATCAAAAGAGAAAAGTTTATTAGTCCAGAGGACATTGGAGGGGAGAGGGAAGCGAGTTGGGATGGGTGAGCGGAGGAGTGCAGAGCTGGCATGCCTGGCTGGCAGGAGGAAGAGGCCTAGGACCAGAAGGGGACATAGGAAAACATTGCGCACAAAGGCATCCTTCAGCCTGGCTGGGCTGCCCTGGTTACCTGAGCCAGCGGGAGCTGGTGATGGGCTGCCAGGACTCACCTTTGAGGTTGGCTTTGACTTCTGAAACTGTTTGTACTGAAAAAGGCCGGAACTCTAAGTCTTGATTTTTTTGGGGGGGGGGAGGGGAGTGGTGGAGTTGGTAAGAGGAAGGCTATACCTGGGTTTGTAGGTGGTTCGCACTCCTGGCTCTGCACTCAGGAATTGCTCCTGGCAGTGCTCAGGGGACCATATGGGATGCATGGGAGCAAACCAGGTTGGCCACTTGCAAGACAAATTATCCTACTTGCTGTACTGTCTCTCCAGCCCCTTGATTGTGAAAGCAATCGTGGAGTGAAAGAAAGGGCAGTGGCTTCAGATTTAAATCAACTGGGCCGCTGGCTTTCTCTGGTGTGAAATGGGAATAGTAGTGTTAAGAGAAGCTCCTGGAATGTGCCTGTGGACTTAGTATAGAACATTCTGTGCTTGTTGCCGCGACCTTGGGGTTTCTCCTCCGAGAAGCAGCGTGTGCTGGTTTCCTTTCCTTTTGCTGGGTGGTGAGACTTGATTGGATGGGCTGTGAGAGAGACTTGGAGGTTTTGCCCCGGGACCAGCTGTCTGCAGCCAGCATCACCTTCTAGGGTCGGGCTCTCTTCACCCTGCGCACTAAGGTTCTTTCGTGATGTTTCAGCTCGAGACCTTATCCAGACCTTGTCTCTGGTGTTCCCTGGCAATTAGTTCCCTCTCCCAAGGTCTCAACTGTACACATCACATCGCCCTGCTCTTTGTGGAAATTCTTCTGGAAGGCCAGAATTGTGGCAGAACCTTCCAGAGCCTTGGGGAGCAGGAGCCTTGTTTAGGAGGCTCAGAAGGGTTGAACAGTGCAGTGTCATCCCACACTGGCTTCTTGGTCATGGGGCAGGCACACAAAAGGAATCCATCCTTGTTGTGTTCCAGTGCCAGGAGACAGAGCCTTCCCTGTGCCTCCTAATGAGGCTGCCACCCGTTCACAAGGTTGGTAATTTGACATTTGCTGCTGCTGTTTGTGTACTGACACCTGAGTTACTTGGAAAGCCCCTACAAAGTTACCAGCAGCTGTGCTGGGCAACTTTCCAAGTTTCCAAAGGGCCTTTGGCTGCCCTGCCCTGCTCTTTGCTTTTAGAAGCAGACAGAAAGGTGCGAACTTTCTCTGGAAAATTTTAAGCCTCTGATTGGCCACTTGTTTGAACACCCTATCCATGGCTCAGAGGTCCTGTGTGGGTTCCATGGATGGGTCACATGAAGTCAGTGAAATCAAATTAGTATCCTGGGAATGTGCATGTTTTTTGGGGTGAATGTCTCAAGCTTTAATTAAATTCACCAGGAAGATATTAGAAGGGTTCGCTTGTGAAAAAGTAGATGCAGAGTTAGAACTGTGCCCTGTGCCATCCGGGTTCTTATTGCTGTCTGTCCCCTTTCAGAGGTCCCATCAGGGCCTAAAGAAGGGGTTGCAGTCACATACTCAGGGCCTCTTTGTAGTTCTATGGGACTTGCCTTTTCTCTGTGTGTGGGAGAGCTTCTTGTTTGCTCTGCGGAAGCAAGAGAAGTGCAGTGATATAACTGGCAGGATGAAAGACCAGCTAATGGGGAGGGGGGCTTGGGGGAGGAGAAAGGTGTCTGTGGTGCTGCACTGTGGTTTTGTCTTCCATCAAACAAGGGGAAAAGACAGAGCTTCAGGAGGAGAGTTGGTGACAGATTTCTGTGACTGATGGCACCGAGAATAGGTCTAAAGAAGCCGGGTTAGGACTTTGTGGATGTCTAAAGCACCTGTTTTAGGAAATTCATAAACAAGTTTATGACAGTTGTCCTTCCAGATAAGGAATGTATAGAAGGTAGCTTTTTAGAGGGAAGGCACAGATACTTAGTCTTTGAAGCGATTATTCTTTTAGAAGTTTCTTTTAAGAGGCAATTGGAAAAAAAATCAACTGAAATAAAGGAATAAAAAAGAAAACAACAAAAAAAACAATTGAACGCATTGATCATCTCATAGCAGGTGATCACATTGGAAAGAAAGTATTAACAGGTTATTAAGTTAACCGAGTTATATATACCACACAGTGGACTACTAGGCAACTCTTTAGTATCTAGAAAAATCATATAGCAAGTCACTCTAAAAACACTTAGATGCAAAGAGGTATGTTCTTGCTTTTGCAAAAAGAATATTCCAGCACCTTTATGAGTTTTTGTTTAATATGTAGACAAAGACTTTGAGACGTGTTAAAACTAAGTCTCTTTTGCAACCCAAAACTCACTACTCATTGTTCTATATGAGTTCTGATACAGATAAGAAAGAGCATTAACACACACACACACACACAACACACACACACACACACACTCAAAGTCTCAAAGTACTGGTTGGTTTTGTGAGTGAGCCAGGACACTGTGATCTAATTCCTGCCTATAGTGGACTTCTCTTTAGTAGAGAAATAGATAAACCTTACTGACTTTGTCATAAAGTTTTCTAAATATTCAGAGAAAGGCTATAAAAAGAATGACTCTCTGGGGCTAGAGAGGTAGTACAGGGATGTAGGGTACTTGCCTTACATATGGCTCAAATCCTTGGTACCACATATGGTCCCCGAAGTGCTACCAGGAGTGATTCCTGAGCATAGAGTCAAGAATAGCCCCTAAACAGTTTTGGTTATGACCCAATTCCCCTCACCCCCTGCCCATGTACACAACACACACACACACACACACACACACACACACACACACACCTCTTTAACAGGCAGTTTAGTTATCAGTAAAGTCCAGTCAGGTGTGACTCTGTCTACTGTCTCTAGCTATATTATTGTCCAGAAATTACAGAACAGAGTTTTCCAGATATTATTGTTAGGATGCCATCCTACTCAACAGCCTTTTGTAGTCTCCTATTCCCCCATGTAGGTTGAGATCCTGGTGGCACCATTACTATAGGAGTAAGGGACAGCCCCATTCCATTGTTTTGACTGCTGTTCTCTATGCCGTAGTCACCAATCCATCTGGAAAGCTTCTAGTGGCTCACTAGAAGGAATCAAACTGGGATCTACCGTGTGAAGGCAAGTACCTTATCGCTGTACTATCTCTCTCTGGCCCCTATTCTTAGAAATAACCTGGTTCGAGTGCTTTCTTGGAGCCTAGCTAGTCCTGTTCTAGAATCCAGATGACCTTACTCGTCCCAATGGGCATCTTTTCTACTGGGTAGCAGTGTACCGCTTCTCAGTCACCAGAGGGATGGCCTTTCCAGGCAGGTCCACATTCAAAATGAGTGTGTATCTCAAACCCAAGACCCCACACAATCACAGTAAAGATGAATTCCTTCAGAAACAAAAGCACAGCAGATCCCTTGAGAAAGAGGAAGGGAGCCACTGCCTCTGGATATGTGGGCCACCTGTCACACTCTTGGGATAAAGCAACTTGGCATCGGCAGCCTTTGGCCGGTATGTGAACATGTATTGTTCTTAGCCAAATTTAGTGAGCTGCTGCTGTGTGCCAGGCACTGTCTGGGCTGTCTTCGTCCAGAGAAGCAGATTCGAAGCACTCTTTCAAGAGCTGCACGCGAGCGAGGGCAGCTGAGAGACAGGCTTTGTGGTGTTGCGTGCAGCGTTCAGGGAATTTTGGCGCCAATGTTTCCAAAGGCATTCACCCTCAGAGGGCAGGGAATGGGGTTGCCAGGGCCACTACTAACTCCTCCGCAGTCTGCTTGAATAGGGTCCCCCAGGAGACTGGCAGCAGCATCCAGCCATTTGCTTTTAAACAACCAAGTGTGATTCCCCGCCCCCCGCCCCCCTTTTGGGAAAAACTTTTCTTTGTTTCTCATCCCCTCCTCCTTCATACCATTTATTCTGACACTGTCGCATAAATCAGAATTTACTTCTTTGGGGTGGGTGGTGCCTTCTCAGCTCTGCCTGTTCTTGTGATTTTGGCTGAGAGGTTTGGGCCTTCTCTGAAGGTGCTGGTGGATTCAGTGGTGCTTAGGAACTGTACTGTGTTGGGCATGGAACTTGGGGCTTCTCGCATGCAAAGCAAATGCTGAATCGCTTTGAGTTACCTCATTGGCCCTGTAATTTTCTTCCTTATTATGACTCTGATTCCACTGCCAGTATATATTACATTTTACTTTTTCACTTATCCGTTGCTGGACACTTACGTTGCTCTTACCTTTGCCTTTGGGACTATAATTATTCCCTTTCTCCTTTTGCATTCAGCAAATATTTTTTTTTTCCCTTTATTTTATTTTTATTTTTTTAAAGTTGTAGATTTACAATTTTTTGTGCTTTGGTTTCAATTATACAATGATCAGATACCCATCCCTCCACCAGTGCCCATTTTCCACCACCATGGATAATATCCCTCCCACCCCCATCCCCCCATCCCCCCTGTCTCTGTGGCAGGGCAATCCCCTGTGTTCTCTCTCTCCTTTTGGGTGTTGTGGTCTGCAAAAGAGGCATTGAGTGGCAAACATGTTCAGTCCATAGTCTACTTTCTACATGCATCTCCCCTCCTGGGAGGATCCTCCAAACATCCTTTATTTGGTGCTCCCTTCTCTATCTGAACAGCCCTTTCCTCTAGGATACCCGGCTGGCCTCTAAGTTATGGAGTAATCCTCCTGATGCTGATCTCAGCTATTCTTGGGTATTAATCTCATACTTTGTTACTTTATATCCCCCAGATGAATGCAATCTTTCTATGTCTATCCCTCTCTTTCTGACTCATTTCGCTTAGCATGATACTTTCCATATTGTACCACTTGTATGTAAATTTCATGACTTCATCTTTTCTAAGAGCTACATAGTACTCCATTGTGTAGATGTACCAAAGTTTCTTTAACCAGTCATCTGTTCTTGGGCATTCAGGTTTCTTCCAGTTTCTGGCTATTGTAAAGAGTGCTGCAATGAACAAACAAGTGCAGATGTCACTTCGACTATACATTTTTGCCTCTCTGGGATATATTCCCAGGAGTGGTATCAGCAAATATTTTTGTAAAGGGTAATTCTTAATCCTGCTACCAGCTACCACTGCTGCTATTTCTGTTGTGTGTTCTTCCAGTCTCTTTTCTTTTTTTTAAAACATTTTAATCATTTTTCTCTTTATTTTTATTTATTTATTTTTTCTTTTTGGGTCACACCCGGCAATGCACAGGGGTTATTCCTGGCTCTGCACTCAGGAGTTACTCCTGACGGTCCTCAGGGGACCATATGGGATGCTGGGAATCGAACCCGGGTCGGCCGCGTGCAAGGCAAACGCCCTACCCGCTGTGCTATCTCTCCAGCCCCCAGTCTCTTTTCAATACAAACGATTTATAACCTGAATGAACGTCTTGACCAAATGCCAAAAGAGATTGTTAAAAGGAGTAGTACTGTGAAAACGAAATCTCACTGTACTAGAACCCATTTCTAGGGTCTAATCTTACAAAAATTACTGACATTTTATTATTTAATTTCAAAGAAGAGTTTGGTTTTGTGGCACAGGAACTTTATTCCTTAGCATGTGTGGTGAACATTTGTAATATTGGATGGATATTAACGAAGGTGGGGAGAGAGGAGCAAGGCTTTATTTTTCTGGATTTCAGTTATTATTGTTTGAATAGATGTTGATATATTGTGAGTGGTTTTTTCCCAGTAACTCTTTCTCTTGGACCTAGAGATTTTCTTGGCAGTGATGATGGTGCAGTTTTGTTCTAGTATTCTCTCATGCGAGTTTAGTGCAGTGCTTGAAGGAGACTGTGGTTGCATAATCTCAGAGGCAGAACTAAGATTGTTGCCTTTATATAAGTTTTTCTTGATTTTTTTCCCCATCTGACGATGCTTGATTCAACCAAGTGAGGGGGGAAAAATATGCGTTGTAAAGCTTTTGCCCTGAAAATGTGGCAGTTGAGAAGTGTAATTGGCTTTCAAGATAATAAAGCTGCTGTCCACATCTCCACCTGAATCTTGACTTTCACTGCCTGCACATCAATTTCAGCATCTTCCCTGGGGAGGAATGACAGAAGAATCTTTACAGAGGAAAAATGTGAGAAATGTTTGCTCTCTCCATTTCTGTCAACCCTTTCTGCTGCTAGCCATTGTTGGTTGTTGGTAAGCATAGCCTTTGATATCGTTAGTTGGCAATGATGTTGTAACAGTGATGTTATCTGTAAAGTGTTAGGTTTTTCTTTTATTCAAACAACATTTAAAAGAGACAGTGGTAGCCTTTCCATCCTGTCTTGAGCACATTGTGGAAGTATGTGGAAAAAATTCCTTGAGTGTTAACAGTTCTCTTTGGGCCAAGAATTTCATTTTTAGATATGCGTGGAATGCTCACTAACCTTTGGTAATGTTATTGTTGAATAGCAGTGCTAAGTCATCGGAGGTGGCCTCTTGTTTGTATTACTGATGTCACCATGCTGATGTACTGAAACCTACACGGTGATGCAGTTATTGATCATACACAGCTCAGGAATGTCAGAAGACACATTTGGGGAAAGCTTTTTGCTCTTTGGCCTTCCAGATAGAAATCAAAGATCAGATTTTCAACAGTGACACAAATTGAAGGCAGCTTTGGTGAATTCTTAAATATATGAAAAGCATGTATTTTACTACACATATTTAAAGTAATAATATTTCTAAAATGTTGACTAAGCATGATTTCTGTCTCTGATTTACTCTTAAAAAGTTCAAGCAGATGGGATGGAGAAATAGTATAATAGATAAGGTACTTGCCTTGTTATGCAGCCTATTTGGGTTCAATCCCTGGCACTGCATATAGTTCTCCAAGCACAGCCAGGAATGATCCCTGAGTGGAGAGCTCAGAATAAGCCCTGAGCATAGCTGGATATACCTTCCCTCTCCAGAAAAAAAAATTAGAAACAAAACTGGTTAGATAGCACAGAGGTTAAGTTAGAATTTCTTTCTCTTTGAGATGCGAATGTATACTTAGATGTGGGCACTTAGATTGCTTCTACCTTTTCACTGTTGTACTTGCTGCTATGAGTACTTTTGGCATTAAACATATGATCATATTTTTTATGCTGAGACTTGAACTCAGGGTTTCACTCATGCAGACCATGTACCCTATCAATATCCCTGATTTGTCGAACAACTTTGAGTGGGCATTTTTCCTTTGTTTTGGAGTGAGTCATTGTTGCGTATCATGCATTCGAGGCGTGAGCTCTGCTACTGAGCACAGTTCCTGCCCCCTTTTCTTTCTCCTTTCATTAAAATGTATTTATATATGTATTTATAAATATATGTTATATATGTAAATATATTATATTATATGTGAATATAAGTGTGTGTATAGATATTTCCATATATATGTATATATGCCTTCTG